CTTACTAAAAATCGTTTTGGCGATCATTTTATGTCAAAACTGTTTACTGTTTACAAAAATGTTTGCTCCTCTAGAGGGCGMYCGTTTCATATAATCTGTGATATCACTGTATCAGGTGATGGTATCCAAAGATAGTCTATGGTGGTATCATAAAACTGGTCAGCAAATCGTTTGCTTTCGTTATCTCTGCGAAAACACTGATATGATTTTGTCGTTTATCGGTTTATCATTAATTGTTAACAAATACCTAACTGTTTTTGAGTTGACGTTGACGTTTAAACGTTTTCATAATATTGTTTTAAAGTTCTAAAATTTGCTCGTGCTCTTTTTTTTTTTTATAAAAATGTCGAAAAATAAAATAACGTCTTATTTTGAAACAAATGCGCCGAAAAAATGTAAAACGAATAACACTGATGATGATTCAAAAAACATTATCATTGAAATGCAGACACAAATATCGGATAGACAAATGCCAACTTCGTCAATCGAAGAACAGTCATCAAGATATCAAGTAAGTTTACCAGATAGTACGGACATAGGAAATTTTATTAATGAAACTGCAGATGATTTTACTAAATCATTAATAGTTAAAAGAAGTAATATCCCTGCATCAAATTTTATTTTTCCTTTTTCAACTCACATAAAAAMAGGGAAAATTRAAAAACGGTACGTGCGTGTCAATCATTTCGAGAAATACTCGTGGTTAGAATACTCGAAGGTTAAACATGGATTGTTTTGTAAAACGTGTGTATTATTTCTGACTTCAAGTCTTGGTGGTATGCATAMGACACAACCATTAAAAACATTAGTAACTGAGCCCCTAAACAAGTATGCTAAATTGCTAGGTAAAGCTGGAGCTTTGGATGTGCACAATAATACAATTTATCATAAGAATGCCGCTCAACAAGCAATTGATTTTCTAACCACATACTCGGAACCATCTAAAGAAATAATAAATATATTACATTCGAAAAGAAATGAAGAAATATTAGAAAACAGAGCTCGATTACGGCCAATTATTGATAGTATTATATTTTTGGGGTGACAAAACATACCTCTACGTGGTCATCGAGACGATGGTCGAGAAATGTTTGGTGGACAAAATGAATCTGTGGTAAACAGTGGAAATTTTAAAGAAATCTTGAAATTTAGAGTTGATTCTGGTGATCAGGTGCTTGAAAATCATTTAAGAACATCTYATTCTAGTGCAACGTACATCAGTAATGTCATTCAAATGATTATTGAATGTTGTCGACAGGAAATTTTAGAAGTTATTATGTTAGAAGTAAATGAAGCCAAATATTATAGTGTTATATTTGATGAAACAACAGACATCTCTAATGCTTCCCAAATTACATTAAATATCCGTTACATTTATAATGATAAAGTTCTGGAAAGGTTTATAGGTTTTATAGATTTCCATAAATATATATTTRACAAAGAAAAGGGACATTTGTCAGATATTAACGAGGAAGATGAAAGTGTTAGTAATGAAAAGCATCCTGAGCCGAAAATTACAGGAGAACTTTTAGGAGAAACTGTTATAAATCTATTAAAAGATTTTGGATTCAATTTAGATGCATGTGTTGGTATTGGGACTGATGGATGTTCAGTCATGGTATCCACAGCTCGAGGTRCAGTACAACAAATTCAAAAGTATGCAAAAAATGCCATTCACTGCCCATGCTCAAATCATGCTCTAAATTTAAGTATTTCAAAGTCATCTACGGTGCAATATGTTCGTAAGTGCATAGGAGTTATTAAAGAAGTAATTTCATTTTTTCATGTCTCCGCTATACGTAATTTCGTACTTAAAAATAAATTGTCACATCGAGCCACTCTTTCTGGGTTGTGTGAAACCCGTTGGATAGAAAGGCACGATAGTGTTCTACAGWTCAAAAATTCCATATTAGAAATAGTAGATGCACTAATTGAAATTTCACAATGGGAAGACAATATTTCTTCAACCAAATCCAACATATTAGTATCTGCTATTTGTAACTGTGATTTTATTTTGTCAATATTTGTATTATCTAGTACATTAAGTGTAACATTTCCTATCAGTAAATTACTGCAAGGAAAAGATGAAGAC